GCCTGGCTGGGGGCTGGGCCGCTATCCCCCCCCCCACCATCTCCCCGCCCGAGCTACAATAAAAGTATCTATGCGCTATAATATTAGTATCTACCGACTCTATAGTAGTAAGTGCACACATTGGGGTGGGGTGGGAGAGAACAGGACATGACACTTTGATGAATTTACCTCAGCGTTGCGTCTATTTTTTTGCATTTTTAACGCTAAGGGGAAATCCCCCCCACCCTCCACCGATGACGCGCGTGCATTGCCAGGGGCAACCCCCGTGCAGCTTGAGCAGGGAGGGGAAATAAATGAATAGCAATCGCACAAAACCACTATTTTAACTAATTTAAAGGTGACGGACGTGGAAAAGGCATAGCCTATGCCAAGCACGGGGCTTACGGTGTGGTACGCGGCTATTTTTTTTAATACGTAAACCCCACGGTTCGCGAGCCAAATCCTTCGCAAGCGCGCGTACGCAGACAGACAGACGGACAGACAGACAGACAAAAACACGCCTTTTATAGATAAGATGCTCACTGAACAACTTCTATTCAAAGACTGAACGAAAAAGGTGGCGTGTGGCGCGAATGTCGTGGAAGGTTGGATGAAATCGGATGAAAGAGGAAAGCACGTGGACGAAATTTGAAATGTGCTTATAATTTAAAACGGCCGAAAGAGCAAAGCAACGAAAGTCAAGTGGACGAAAGGCAAGGTATCGCTGTATTTTAAGAACAGGACGCTCACAACGATTTGTAATGCCGCATTACAAATGGTTGTTGAGCTTCTTAGATGTTCACCGTTTATTTATTTTTATTTTGCAATCATCGTGTCGGAAGCTGCGAAGCAGCTCATTAAAGAGCCGCATGCGGCTCCGGAACCGCAAGTAGACGACCCCCGTGCATGGGATACGCCTTGCAGCTTCCCGCCCCTTCTAGCGATCTGAGCGGACGACTGACTTGGGCAGTGGGCGCTGCAAGGCTGTGTTATCGGTGCGCGCTGTGAATTTGCGCCCGTACACCGCCACAAAGTCAACTCGCGCTTAACAATTCTCTGTGCATAATGCAGTAGCGTTGTTCAGCGGAGGACGCAACTCAGCTTCCGTAAGCAATAACCACGTCTTGTCCAATGTGCAGTTGCGATAAAACTGCTCCCACACCCAGATCAGTTAAGTCTGTGACCAAGATAATGGGATTGAAAAAGCAAGAGTATGCCAGTGGTGGAGCATTGACTGAGCATGTCTGTGGGTTTCTGTGCATGTTTGTAGCTCTCTGTAGGTGTCTGTGGGTCTCTGGGTCTATGTGTGTGTCTGTGGGTCTCTGTACATGTCCTTGGGTCTCTGTGCATGTCTGTGGGTCTCTATGCGTGTTTGTGGATCTCTGTGCGTGTATATGAGTGTCTGACTTGGCCTGCGGGTCTCTGTGCGTATCTGTGGGTCTCTGCGTGACTGTGGGTCTTTGTATGTGTCAGTGGGTCTCTGTAGTGTCTGTGGCTCTCTGAGCGTGTCTGTGGGTCTCTTTGCGTGTTGGTGGGTCTCTGTCAGTGGGTGTCTGTGGGTCTCTGTGTGTATCTGTAGCTCTCTGCATGTCTGTGTGTCTCTATGCGTGTTCGTGGGTCACTGTGCGTGTCTGTGGGTCTCTGTGCGTGTCTACAGCTGTCTGAGCGTGTCTGTGGGTCTCTTTTCGTGTGTTGAATCTGTGCATGTCTGTGGGTCTCTGCGCATGTCTGTGGGTCTCGGTGCGTGTCTGTGGGTTTCTGTGAGTGTCTGTAGCTCTCTGTGCATGTCTGTGGGTTTTTGTACGTGCCTACAGTTCTCTGAGCGTGTCTGGGTCTCTGTTCGAGGGTGTTGGTATCTGTGCGTATCTGCGGCTCTCTGAGCGTATCTATGGGTCTCTGAGCGTGCCTGTGAGTCTATGAGCGTACCTGTGGATCTCTGCGTGTCTGTGGGTCTCTGCGTGACTGTGTGTCTAGGTGTGTGTCCGTGGGTCTCTGTAGTGTTTGTGGGCCTGTGCGTTTCGATGGGTCTCTGTCAGTGGGTGTCTGTGGGATTCTGCGTTTCGATGGGTCTCTATGCGTGGATGTGGGTATCTGAGCATGTCTGTGGGTCTCTCTTCGTGTGTTGGAATCTGTGCTTGTCTGCGGCTCTTTGTGCGTGTCTGTGGGTCTCTGTGCGTGTCTGTGTGTCTCTGTGCGTGGCCGTAGCTCTCTGTGCGTATCTACCACTGTATGAGCGTGTTTGTGGGTCTCTTAGCGTGTCTGTGGGTCTCTGTGCGTGTCTGTGGGTCTTTGTCAGTGTCTACAGCTCTCTGAGCGTGTCTGTGAATCTCTGTGCGTGTCTGTGAGTCTATGTGCGTATGTATGAGTCTCTGTGCCTGCGGGTCTCTGTGCCTGTCTGTGGGTCTCTGTGCGTGTCTGTGGGTCTCTGCGTGACTGTGGGTCTTGGTGTGTGTCCGTGGGTCTCTGTAGTGTATGTGGGTCTGTGCGTTTCCATGGGTCTCTGTCAGTGGGTGTCTGTAGGATTCTGCATGTCTGTGGGTCTCAAAGCGTGATTGTGCGCCTATGTGCGTGTCTGCCGCTGTCTGAGCGTGTCTGTGGGTCTCTGTGCGTGTCGGTGGGTCTGTGCGTTTCTATGGGTCTCTATGCGTGGTTGTGGGTATCTGAGCATGTCTGTGGATCTCTCTTCGTGTGTTGGAATCTGTGCTTGTCTACAGCTCTCTGTGCGTGTCCAGCCCTTTGTGCGTATTTGTGGGTTTCTGTGCGTGTCTGGGGTCTCTGTGCGTGTCTACCGCTGTCTGAGCGTGTCTGTGGGTCGCTGAGCGTGTCTGTGGGTCTCTGAGCGTGTCTGTGGATTTTTGTACGTGTCTACAGCTCTCTGTGCGTTTATGTAGCTATCTGTGCGTGACTGTGGGTCTCTGTGCGTGTATGTGGGTCTCTACGTGTCTGTGAGTATCTGTGCGTATATATGAGTCTCTGTGTCTGCGGGTCTCTGTGCCTGTCTGTGGGTCTCTGTGCGTGTCTGTGGGTCTCTGCGTGACTGTGGGTTTTGGTGTGTGTCCGTGGGTCTCTGAGCGTGTCTGTGGGTCTTTGTACGTGTCTACAGCTCTCTGAGCGTGTCTGTGGGACTTTGTGCGTGTCCGTAGCTCTCTGTGCGTATTTGTGGGTCTCTGTGCGTGTCTGGGGTCTCTGTGCGTGTCTACCGCTGTCTGAACGTGTATGTGGGTCTCTGAGCGTGTCTGTGGGTCTCCGAACGTGTCTGTGGGTCTTTGTACGTGACTACAGCTCTCTGTGCGTTTATGTAGCTCTCTGTGCGTGTCTGTGGGTCTCGATGCGTGTCTGTGGGTCGGTGTCAGTGTCTCCAGCTCTCTGAGCGTGTCTGTGGGTCTCTGTTCGTGTGTGTTGGAATCTGTGCGTATCTGCGGCTCTCTGAGCATATCTGTTGGGCTCTGTGGGTCTGTGAGTCTATGAGTGTGCCTGTGGGTCTCTGCGTGTCTGTGAGTCTCTGTGCGTATATGAGTCTCTGTGCCTGCGGGTCTCTGTGCCTGTCTGTGGGTCTCTGTGTCTGTCTGTGGGTCTCTGTGCGTGTCTGTGGGTCTCTGCATGACTGTGGGTCTTGGTGTGTGTCCGTGGGTCTCTGTAGTGTCTGTGGTTCTGTGCGGTTTCATGAGTCTCTGTCAGTGGGTGTCTGTGGGATTCTGCATGTCTGTGGGTCTCAAAGCGTGGTTGTGGGTCTCTGTGCGTGTCTGTCGCTGTCTGAGCGTGTCTGTGGGTCTCTGAGCGTGTCTGTGGGTCTCTGAGCGTGTCTGAGGATTTTTGCACGTGTCTACAGCTCTCTGTGCGTTTATGTAGCTCTCTGTGCGTGACTGTGGGTCTCTGTGCGTGTCTGTGGGTCTCTACGTGTCTGTGAGTATCTGTGCGTATATGAGTCTCTGTGTCTGCGGGTCTCTGTGCCTGTCTGTGGGTCTCTGCGTGACTGTGGGTTTTGGTGTGTGTCCGTGGGTCTCTGAGCGTATCTGTGGGTCTTTGTACGTGTCTACAGCTCTCTGTGCGTTTATGTAGCTCTCTGTGCGTGTTTGTGGATCTCTGTGCGTGTCTGTGGGTCTCGGTGCGTGTCTGTGGGTCTTTATGCGTGTCTACAGCTCTCTGAGCGTGTCTGAGGGTCTCTGTGCGTGTCTGTCGGTCTTTGTCAGTGTCTACAGCTCTCTGAGCGTGTATGTGGGTCTCTGTGCATGTCCGTGGGTCTTTGTCAGTGTCTACAGCTCTCTGAATGTGTATGTGGGTCTCTGTGCGTGTCTGTGGGTCTTTGTGCGTGTCTACAGCTCTCTGAGCGTGTCTGAATGTCTCTGTGCGTGTATGTGGGTCTCGGTGCGTGTCTGTGGGTCTCTGTGCGTGTCTGTTGGTCTTTGTCAGTGTCTACAGCTCTCTGAGCGTGTCTGTGAGTCTCTGTGCGTGTCTGTGGGTCTTTGTCAGTGTCTACAGCTCCCTGAGTGTCTCTGTGGGTCTCTGTGCGTGTCCGTAGCTCTCTGTGCGTGTCTGTGGGTCTCTGTGCGTGTCTGTTGGTCTTTGTCAGTGTCTACAGCCCTCTGTGCGTTTGTGGGTCTCTGTGCGTGTCTGAGTGTCTCTGAGCGTGTATGTGGGTCTCTGTGCGTGTCTGTGGGTCTCGGTGCGTGTCTGTGGGTCTTTGCCAGTGTCTACAGCTCTCTGAGTGTGTCTGTGGGTCTCTGTGCGTGTCTGTGGGTCTTTGTCAGTGTCTACAGCTCTCTGAGTGTGTCTGTGGGTCTATGTGCGTATCTGTGGGTCTCGGTGCGTGTCTGTGGGTCTTGGTGCGTGTCTGTTGGTCTTTGTCAGTGTCTACAGCTCTCTGAGTGTGTCTGTGGGTCTCTGTGCGTGTCCTTAGCTCTCTGTGCGTGTCTGTGGGTCTCTGTGCGTGTCTGTTGGTCTTTGTCAGTGTCTACAGCTCTCTGAGTGTGTCTGTGGGTCTCTGTGCGTGTCCTTAGCTCTCTGTGTGTTTGTGGGTCTCTGTGCGTGTCTGTGTGTCTCTGTGCGTGTCTGATGGTCTGTTTCGTGTCTGTGGGTCTCTGTGCATGTTTGTGGGTTCATGTGCGTGTCTGTTAGTCTAGGGGTATATCTGTGAGTCAAGTACATTTGAAAAAAGTACGCAGGCGAGTTCATATTTTCACTCCTACCATGGCAAATGCGGCCAATTTCAACCACTGTCAGATACCCAATTTATGACTTAAACAATTGACATTTTAACGGTTAAGCTTGAGCATCCTGGATTCTCGACACGACAGTCTGTAAGCGCCCTAAATTGCTCATCAAAAGTACGGGTTAATACAATAACAGCATCGGGGTAAATGAGGTTTGCCATTGAAGGCCAGGCAAAACCAGCTCCATTCGCTCTTGGAATATGGTGGAAACCGGTTATAGATCCATTGAATGTACATGTATTCTTTATTTCACTTCCAGCGCCCAATCAACTGCCATGACATTTAGGCGGCATCCCAGACCGAAGCTCGCCATGGGCACCCACACGTTCTGAGAGCCGTCGAGCCGAACTCCCACCTCGTGTGAACCCGCACACTCCACACTGGCGTCATCACGATACACATTGTAGCTGCATGCATGCTCATACTACCATGATGTTGTAAATAATTATTGGGATATTTTCTGATTTATTTTCTCATTACTGTATTGTCCGTATGTGTACTCAGCCTTGTGTTTAGCATGTGTCTAGGAGTTTCCTTCATCATCGTATTCAAAGGGATTAAACTGACTTCAAGAACGTAAGATAAATATTGAGGCCACCTAACCAGAGTTTAGGAAAAAATATATCCACGTTTTATCATGGGCGTACTATCCAACAATATGTTAAAAGACAAATGCATTTGACATACCAATATGCCTGTCCTTTGCAGACTATACAAACGAGTATTAAAAGGCATACAGTCATACAAGCTCTCAAAAATTAAGTATTCAATATGAATGGAAATAAATTATCAAAACAATTATAAATAATAGGCAGCAGGTAACAGTAGAAATTACAGACGGTTCATAGATGAAGTGAAAGAGAAATGCGACACGGGCACCGCGTGCCCTGCAGGGACTCGCATCGCGCGCACGGCGAGGCCGTCGTGAAGCCACCACGAGTAGTTGTACTACTTGTAGTAGTACAAGTTGTACTACTTGTAGTAGTACAACTAGTAGTACTGTAGTAGTATTGTAGTAGTCATAGTCGTGATGAAGCGCACCCATTACGCACGCCTCAGTCAAGGCCTGGCTCGACCACAGCGTCACCATGGCCTCCACACGCCGACTCCCAGCTCCGCCTTCAGCACCTTCACGGCTCCTCCTCTCCCGTGCCGCCGCCGCTGCTGCTGCTCGCATCCGTGGGGCCCGCGCGCCACCTGCGCGGTAGCGAGGTCCGGGGAGGCCGGGGACGAGGCCGGCGTTGGGACGCGTGTCCGCGCTGCGCCAGGAGGCTTCGTAGCTGCCTCCAGCTGCTGCTGGAGAGCGGCTGCGCCTGGCTGCTGTGGCTGCACTGTGAGCGCCTCCAGGCCGCGATCCTGCACAGCCAGGATGGACGAGCGGATGAAAGCGACGGCTCCTTCCAGGACATCCGCCTTCTCCAGCCTGCGGTCCTGCTGCTGCTGCTGTGAGGCGCACGCCTGCGCCTGCTGCTGCTGCTTCTTTGTTGCTGCTTCCGCCCCGCCGTCGCAGAAACGCAGCATGAGCTGCTTGAGCTCGTGGAAGCTCTCGTTCATGCGGTGCCGTCTGTCCTTCTCCACCAGGGCCTTTCGCAGCTGCACAGAACACCATGACTGTCAACTGTTGGCGCTTCACGATGTTCACGTTACCACTGCACGATGCGCACGTTTAAGTGAGCACTCGATGCACGTGTGAGTGAGCTTGGTATGCAATTGTGGATTGTGTAACAATACTCTTGATCGAGTGGATGCACGGGACTGCCCTCACCTTCCGCTTCTCCCCTCGTCCTCCCTGCGGCCCCACGTGGCGTGGGAAGGCTGCGGGACTCGCGCCGCTACCGCCGTCTGGAGGCGGCGGTCGCGGCGCGAGTCGCAGAGCGGCCGCCCGCAATGGCTCCACACCGACCGGACTCGGGCCCAGCAGGTCCCACGGGAAGACGGCGGCGGCATTCATTGGACGCGAGCGTCTTCCTCTTCGTCTCCACGTTCGGTTCTCCCCAGCGGAGTCGCGTTTCGGGGTGGGGGGGGGGCGTCGGAGCGCGCGTAGAGTGAGCGAGCGGAGGAGAGCTTCGGCTAACAAGCAGCGCCCTCCTCCCTCCTGCTGGTCCTGCGATGGATGCCGCGGTTGAGTCCGGCACTCTGAGCGGTGTCAGTCGCCTAGGGGTCGCGTGGTGCCGAGACGCAGGGATCGCACGGCGCGGAGCGACCAGCGCGCTCCAGTGTCGACTCGGTGACGGAGCGGCGGGGAATGTGGCGCTGGGAGAGGCGCGGCGGCCGCCTAAATGAGCGTCTCGAGGATGGGGGGGGGGGTCACAGCGAGTGGGGGACGAGAAGGGGTGCTGAGCACTGTCAGAGGGGACCTCGGAGCTGTAAAGTTACTTGATGTGGTGCAGGGAGGGGGGGGGGCGCTCGGGCGCGATTTGTCGGCTGTTCGCGAAAACGTGGATGAGGCGCACGGGTGTGGGGGTGTTGGAGCGGAGGTGGAGGGTGCCGGGGGCTGTCCATTGCCCGCGACTGCTCAACGTGACGAGGGCGTCAGAAGTGTGGCCATCGCCACGTCCGCTGCTCGCTTTCATGTCACGCGCGGCGTCAGCACACGCCGCCACAACGAGGCGCATTGCAGCCGTTCTGCGTCTTTGTTGAGTGCCACGTGGGAGATCGGAGGAGTCTGTACGTCTCTTAGGCGTGATTCAATGCAGGTGACCCTAGTTCGATTCCCGGTCACGTTCTGCAGTGGTAAGTAACATGTGAACCTGTTCTGGGCCACTCGTACATAGACTCAGCTCTTGTGGGTAATTATTGTCAAAGTCCAAACTAAAACTGAACTATTTTCTCTTTAACCATCTAAGGGCCATTGAGCAATTTAGTTATTTTTCAAAAGCGACCTGAACACTCCAAAAAGTGACTCATCGTGTGGACATTAATAGCAGCCAAATACTCTAAACGCATGTTTCTCAATGTGGAGGGAAAAACTAGAGTAATCCAGTGAAAAGTCTACGTGACCACAGAGAGACACATGCAAACTCCATATGTACAGACGTCAGTGGCAGGAATGAACCTGCACGATCCTCCTGTATACCAGGCAAGGTAGTTACCATCTCGTGAACGTGCGCTATGCTCAGCACCATGTCCCGCCGGCTTTATCTCGCCAGTGATTCTACTTGATATAGCACACCAGATGCTCATTTACGGCTGAGTAAACCTCGGGTAGGCCAAGGACAGTTCGGATTTGAGTATCAAGAGACAGCCGTATCGCAGTGGGCTAGCCACTCCACTACCATGTCACACATCGACAACCACTCCCACACTCACGCAAAGACAAAGATCCCCCATATAGCCTCACAGACTGTTGGAGGTATGCCCAGAACCTGTTCTGATATTCTTTACTGATATTGGTTATGAGCGGGAATCGAACTCGGGTCGCTGTGAAGTGGCCAGGATATGGCAGGACAGCAAGAAGATCATGACCTGTCTGTGCGCACCTTTAGCGATATTCCGTCATTTGCCTTTTCGCACGCAAAGCCACTTCTTGGAACAGGATTCGATTCACAAAAATATTCTTAATGCAGTGATAATCTCAGAGATAAATGCGTCATTATATCGTTATCATTATTATGATATAAACTCAACTCTACAAATGTTCCAGTTACTGTAATGAATGAAAGGTCTTTATCATCTGTATATACTCGTAAATGTATCACTTAAGATCATTATATTCGTCGTTGTGGAGAACATAAATAGTAACACGAGCAATGTCTTCTCGGCGTGTACCCGCTATGTCCATGCTCCTCCGCGACGTCAAGAGAGGCTCCTTCCTTGTCTGTAGCATGGGCTGTTCAGCAGCATTGCTTCAAGTGAGCTTGACTCCGCTGATGAGACACTGCGCGTCAAAACCGATCCAGAGTTTGCTTGGAATGAATTAGTGCGGCTGAATTAATGCGATCCCAGAAGGCCGTAGGGCTGATGGGTTGTGTAACAAATACTTGTAACTTTGATGTGGAGGGAGGGACGTGTGAGGGAGGCATTGTGTGTTTGTCTTGTCAAGTGAAATATATCGGTTATTAGATGCAGTTCAACTCCAGCAGTGTTTAAATAATAGATCATTTGCGGCGGCCTATGTTCACTTGCCATTGTTTGGTGAGATTTCCTCGACTGAACATTTCTGTTGTCTACAGTACTTGGATGCTTTAACGTGGTAATCCCTCATGTGGTAGTTCTTTGCTAACATGTACAAATAGTTGTGGAGACGCCAGTGTATTTGGCGGGTCAGCGTTGGCACGGAGGCTGAGTGGCGAGGCTGTCAGTGCGAGGCGCAGATCGATGTCGTGTTTGGTGCTCACGGAGTCGGACTCCGCGGTGGGAGCCGGGCCAGGTGACACCACGAGTATCGTTGGCCACGTACGGTGTGAAAGAAGTACAACGTACATACGTAGGTACATAGTACAACGTTAGTGGGAGTCTTCGGGCTGCGTGAAGCCACTTGGTGAGTGAGCCAAGCTGTGGCTCTGAGCGCGCCAAGCTGCGCGCGTTTCCACACGGGCACCGCACGCGGCAGCGATGGTTGATTGTTCACGTCAACAGCTCCATTAAGTCGGGCTGCAGGTTTCCGCAGTGCTAACGCTCGTGGTTCACAGCAAAAGGCACATGGGTTCGACTCCCGACTTGGGCATCTTTCTGCATCGAGTTAGATCTGCATGGGATTCCTCCGAGTTCTTCCGTTTCCTCTCGTAGCTAACACCTTAGAATGTGACGGGATTATGCAAACATCCCAAGGTTTAAAAACTGTCTGCAACATTGTCTCAAACTGCGAAAACTTCGCATGCCCTTCCTGAAAAAACTCGGCGAAGCGTTCTTGGGTTTAAGAAAAACGCGTAACTATTAAGTAAAACTCCACGTAGGGGATTCGTGTCGCTCTCCCTGGCAGCGAGTTTCTAGCCCGACAATGGAGCTTGAATAATACTAGCACAGTGCAGCACTTTCACCGTCACACCTCGCATCACGATCCATTCGGCGCTCTGTGTGGTTTATATGCGAGCACGTGGAGACAACATTTCACGGTCACTCCGCGGATCAAATAGGAACATCTCAGCATCCGAAGTCATTCGTATATTGATCATCGCACCACGGCATCGTGTTTTCCTATTGCGATAACTCGAACTCGACCATAAAACTCAATAGTGGCTTTGGGTATAATTGGGATTTACACGCTAATGGATATGGCTATACTTGAGAATTCTCAATTAAAATACAGAATGGTCAAGATGTCACCAATTGATTTAAAAGCCTCGAGTAAAAAAAAATAAACTTCTTTGCCAGCAATGATTCCGCTACGTTGATCTGAAAAAGTGATTCCATGCTCACATGAGCGTTAACGTGCTCATCATCATCTGTTTACAACCGTGAGCTGGTGGTGGAATTTATACATTCCTTTAGCGCGACGAACGAGTCGATACATAGCACAGCCAGTGTTGTCTTAGCGACACCCAACACCCAACCGGGATGTCAACCGTCAACATTCGAATTGCGAGTCACTCGCTCTACCGCTGAGTCGCCGCCTCACCGGGACGATCTGAATTCTGAGTAGGGTAACGACGCAAACACGATCATCACAATCATAGATTTGTAATTGAAAGAGGCAACCCAAATGCACGGCTATGACCATAAGCCAGTTCTGGAAATAAACTAATTACATACTAAAATTATAGCCAATTCATCTGGAGCATTGACGGGAATGTCTGCCATCCCATTGGACCTTTTTGACCAGAATTAACTTTCTCGAAGTCACGTTTTTGTTGGCATTTTATTCCGAAAACGCTCACCTCGTGCAAGGCTAGAGTTATATGGTTGCGGGTCATTGCAGTGGCAATGGAGATGTTTTCCCGTTGCAATCGAATCCCGTGAAGGTCGTCTAAGAGAACCTCGCAGAGTGCGAGTCGAGGCGGCTCTTTAACAGTATCCCTGGGGCGAATGGAGGCCACTCGATACGCCGCACACAACCTCGGGAGGCTGCACCTCCGCGGCACTGCCCTCTGATGTCTCGCGTGGCCACGCGCCGCGTTCGCGCGACCTCGCCAAACGCGCGCGACACGCGGCGCGCGGGTGGGCGTCACGAACGGCGCGTGGCGGTGGCGGCGGCCTCAAAGCGCGACCGAGGCGGCCCCGCGTTGCTCCGCGGCTCCACCGCGTGAAGCGGCGCGGCAGGGAGTCCGCGCGGGGCCTCTCGTGGCACCGCTCGCCGCGGGGGAGGGGAGGCACCCATTGCAGCCTCAACCCGCGTCTTTTTCGGGGTGAGCCGTCCCGCCCACTGGCCGTGCCCCACAGCAGGGCCCGGCCCCGCTTCCTTCAGCCCCCCCCCCCCCCACACCACCACAGCGCTCCTGGCTCCCCTCCTCCCTGCAGCCCTCGTTCCGGCCAAGGAGGCACACCGCCTGGCGAAGCCGAACTCGCCTGCCGATTAGCACTGCAGCTGTCTCGTGAGCAGCCATGCATAGCCCCGCGGTGTTGTTATTCTACTATGAAGACCGTTAACGTCGTCATGGGTCAAACGGCATGGATTTTGAAATGTTTGAATATACTCGCTCGTATTTAATAACATATTGGAGTCAACGGATTCTTTAATAGGATATTGGACATTACTTATCTTTACTAATAATGCAGCTTTATAAAACGATCTATACTGCACGGTAATGTACATGTTTTTACATGCGGAGCGATGAGGAAGTACAATTGCATACTCACCGGTGAGCTGAACTAGCAACGAATTGGAACGTTCTGTTTACGTGACAAACCTTACTCATTGGCTGTGTCGGGTGGTGGCGGGTTTAACGATACATACAAACAAAACACCTCGATTATGGACAAATTGCATTGGGCCTTCGAGTTTACTACCTCTGGTGAAATTGTGAGTCACGGCCCACGCTCCACGCCGCCACTGTTCGCTATTCACGCGGCCGCCTTTGATGTCCGCACAATGCGGCCGGGCGGCTCAGCAGTAGGGCGAGTGGCTCAGCAGTAGGGCGAGTGGCTCAGCAGTAGGGCGAGTGGCTCAGCAGTAGGGCGAGTGGCTCAGCAGTAGGGCGAGTGGTTCAGCAGTAGGGCGAGTGGCTTAGCAATAGGACGAGTGGCTCAGCAGTAGGGCGAGTGGCTCAGCAGTAGGGCGAGTGGCTCAGCAGTAGGGCGAGTGGCTCAGCAGTAGGGCGAGTGGCTCAGCAGAAGGACGAGTGGCTTAGCAGTAGGGCGAGTCGCTCAGCGGTAGGGCGAGTGGCTTAGCAGTAGGGCGAGTGGCTCAGCGGAAGGGCGAGTGG